CTAGGACATTATTTGAAGGGACTAAAGATCAAGATTGTTAAAAGTAAAAGGAAGGAATATAGAGTTGGTTTATTTGATCAAGGTAGATATTTTGTTATCTCTGGTAACCCTTAATGAACTTTTGCTGACATCAGGACATAAATGATGAGGTTTTATGGATTTGTTTATGGATAAGAGATGGGATTTGTATTTTAAGAGAAAGTGATAAGTCACTAAAATTGTTTATACTTGTGATGAAGGGGGAAGACACTTTATTTCTTTTTCTTTACTATATTCTTATTTTTAATATTTTTTTTTCTTTTTCTTTTTCTTTTTTGTATTAGTTTTTATTGTTGTAAATTGTAATCTTTAATAAAATATTAAAAACAATTCCATGAATTATAAAGAGAATTAAGAGTTTATAGCACAGTAAGAAAAAAGTAGAAGGAAGTGAACAATTAAAAAAGAGATTCAGAGGGATTAGTAGCAATTGTTAAATATTTGACAGACAGGAAAACAGTGTATATCAGAGCCTGTAAGAAACAGAAAACTATCAAAATAAAACCATTTATTTCCAACCACATCTAGTTTGCTGTTCTGTTCACTTTTATTCAGATCACATATTTATGTAATATAAATATACAAATATAAAAGCTGTCAATGCAAAATAAGAATTCTTAACAAAGAATGGCCAAGTTTATAGAATTTTAAAAAATATTTTCCTCTATAACTCATGTCAAAGCTGTTTTCCTTCTGGAAGAAGTTGTATTATCTGACTCCAAACATTCTATTCCATTTCTTCAACCTGATGAAGGTTGGGTTTCAGGGAGGAATGAAGGGAATTGTCCATGGCAAACAAGCTTCATAGGCTTATGCTAATCAGAATACATAGGAGGAGGAGCACAGCTTTATCTTTTTTCTCAGTTGTTTTTTAAAATTTCCCTTCCATGAAAGTTAATGGGAGAAAAAAAGTGTTCTGCCAGCTCCAGAGCTGGCGTGCTTTTGTCTTCCTATTCATGCAATTGTGTACTAAGTTAGACTATTGGTAAACCAAATTCTATGTTATATACCCTGCCTGGTAGGTCTCTAAGATTTCAGATCGGTCTTTTGCAGCTGAACTTGCCAACACTTTGCTCCACAACAAAGTTGTGATTCGTCTCCTAAAACTTTGGACTTCAAAGGGCTCGGACATACTTAATTCAGCATAAAATTGGACTATAAAACTGGGCTAATTCAAAATACTTTCAACTGGGTTCTTGAAATAATTTTTAAAAATATATGCTTTGTACAAAAGAAGCAGGCATGTTTTATACTGCAAGCTTAACATAAAACAAAATAGGAAATGAATGAAGCTCTAGTGCTATCTGCTGTATCAGTCCAGAATTGCTCCAAAGAATTTCATTAATTCAACAGCTAACATTCACTTGAAGAAACATTAAAAGATACATTCATGTATGTGTCTTTTAAAATGCATTTGGGCAAAATGATAGTTATTATAGCTTCAGCAGTTGAGCAAAGTTTATTTTTCAGTATTGAGATGGCTGTGGTATACATATAATATTAAATATAAAGAAAGGGAAAGCATGCTTTCAGGTTGGATGAAAGCATGCGTTTCATTCCAAAGTGAATTCAACTTTTATATACTTTTCCTGTCCCCTTTTAGCAATCTGTCCCCACCTTTATTACCTTACTATCCTGACCAACTCCACCTGTCCAGTTTTCTGCTTCTGATGAACATTTTAATTTTTTAAGTTTTTTTAACAATTTATTTTTTCCTTTGTTATTATACTTATTTTGCCAAGGTGCTCTTTGTTGCCCACATTTCAGCAATGCATTTTAAAAGAAGTTTTCTTGCCTTCTATAACTTCCTTGGCTTTTCTCAGTAATTATGCTGGCATCCTGTTAGACCTTTCCTAATCCTCAGTATTTTATCTGCTGTTACTGAATTTTTAAACAAACTGTTATCCAAAAGATGCATGACCCTGGATGCTCTTTTTCAATCACGTTTTAAATTTTCGTTTGATTTTATGGCCATTCCAGTTTCAATACTGTGATCATTGCTCCCAGTCAGTTCAACAGTATATCTATCTTAAGTCCCAAGTATTACTCAAAGTTAAGTCTAGAGCTGTTTCTTTTTTAATCAGTTCTGTCCCCAACTGTTGAATATCATAATTTATATCTAATTATGTGTTCTCAACCTAGACATGCTCTTACCCATATAACATAAAGATAGTTCCAAGGTACAACGCTCAGTGTAATTAGTTTTATACTCCCCCGTAATGCCATAACAACTAACAAAAGCGCCTTTTCCTTCCCATTGTAATGTAAGCGTAGTGCAAATACATTACGGTGAATAAGCAGTCCTAGATTATTTCGTAATAATAGTAATAATAATAAACATTTATTAAACTTGTCCATAGAGGAGGATGTGGGGGCAAACAAGAGATCACCTCCGGCGCCCCCACTCCAGGATACCACAGAGAACTCCTTGATTTCATTCCATACCCCAACTTAATCTATTTCTAGCTTTTACATTTTACAGAGGCCACCTCAGTCTCTGACTCGTGTTTATCTCCTCTGCACTTTCCCCAAGAGTCCTAATTCTTGCTGTTTCAGCCAGCAAGACTTCTCTCCTCCATCCCCCAGATCGACGACTTCCTATTACCTAAACTCGATCCCCAGACTGCCAATGGACCGGCCTATTTACGCCTCAGTTTAAGTTGCAGCCTCTGTCGGATCCCCTTGCCTTACACTCTTCTACTTTTGCATCAACACTTCTAGCGCTTCACCCGCCCCTGGAATAGCTGCTCTGCACGGTAAGCCTCCGGCCATTAAACTGCCCACGTTACATCCCCCATTACATCCTGGTACGGTCAAAACTTCGAACTGCCATACCTTCTCTTTCCCTTTCTCACCCACTTTAACCTAACCCATAACGTCCAAACTGAACTCTTTCTTGTTTCCCCATTCTCTCTCGGGCCCATTTCTTTAACCTTTTTGAAGCCTCCCGCGCACTCTTCCCTCGTCTCCATTTCACACTGCAGCCCTGGTTGGATTCGGCGCTAAAACGGTCAGAACAGCGCATGGCATGTTGGGGAATGTAGTTCCTGGAGTCCCACCCTCAACCTTTTACTTCCGGAGAAGAACGGGCCTCCATCCTTTCTATCAAGAGGCATTCTGGGAAGTGTAGTTGATTTTTGCTCCTCCGGCCCTTCAAGCTTCTCTGGCTGCGTACCTGAAGCGAGGCGCGAGGCTTGAGGCTTAAGTTAGAAGTTTCGTTTTAGGAGAAAGAAGGAGGCTGCCCTGGGGTCCCTGCCCGAAAGCGTCAAGCCAGGCTCTGAGCATGGAGGAATAGGGAAAGGAGGGGGCGCGATCAGAATATGAGAGTCACGGCCACAGTAAGTCGTTCAGGAAGGCCCTCCTCGGCACGGCGTCAACGTGTCCTGCTCAGTGATAGCGTTTCTCGGCTTCCCATCGGCGCTTGCTTAGCGGTTCCGCTTACTTAGCCATGAGTTCTGGCCCTTTGCCCATCAGTCCCCACTTTTTGAAAAGTTGTGAGGATGGACAGTGGGTGGATGTTGAATCGACCCTGTGGAATCCTAGTCCTAAACCTTAGTTCTTTGCCTGGGGAACTCACATCCAAGAAAACAGGTGGATTCACATCTGAACGAACAATGATTTAGGACCGAGATCTATGTCTGTAGGGGCATACTATCATACTGGATTCTGTAGGACCTGTAATACACATGTTTACAACTCAGCTCTACTGACTTCAGTACTGTAATGTAGCTTTAAAATGTGGCTTAGGGTTCTGGCTTTTTTTCCTATGCACTTTCCTAAATGCACTTCTGCTAGGACTTGAGTAAACTTGCTTAGGATCTCAGTTTAAGTCTGAGATGATTTGGAAGTCCTCTTCAAGTGGTTCCATGCTATCACTGGCAACAAATCATGTTTTATTGCTTGACACTTCCTTTCTCTTTTTCTCCTTTTCCTTCTTTCTTACAGTTCTGTTTGTTCGATTTTTCCACTTTTAAGTATTTGAAGAGAGATGAACGTGACTTTAGGGTTTAGTGTAGAAGGTTCACTAAGAACTTTTAGAAAGGATTAAAGTTTCTGGGATGTTTTTGAACAAAATGTATGAAGAGTGGCTAGGGAGTTGAATGCATTAAATATTTTCAAGCATTTTTAATTCATATTTTAAAATATTACATTGTATTAATTTTATATCAAGTGAAACAAAGTATTTCAAGAAAAGCTTCAAAAGATTTCAAAATGGTGACTTTATTACATGGTGATTTAAGGACCAGTTCATGAATAGCTTTGAGAATAATTTGGGGTGGGTGAGATACTCTTAAATTGTTTCAGTGTTTGGCTGTGAGGATTGATTCAGTTTCTGAGTGAAGAGCACATATGTGTCAGTTCATTTAAGACTGAAATATTACTTTGAACTGATTTACAAGTATATGGATTATTACTGTCTGGAAAGACAAAGCGCCCAGTTCTAATTACAGATGGTATGCTGCATTACCTTCTCACAGAGAACAACACCATAATGGCTGTATAGACAACTGGGTGACTCTAAAACAAATATCCAGGGAGAGAGGCATCAACTTGGCGCCTTTGTGCAAAACTTTGTCTCCATCCCTACATTTTAAATTAAATTAAAACATTAACTTGTTGACACACAAAGAATAGACAAAGTTGCCAGATGTCATATGTTTTGCAGAATATGCAATCCAGATTTTAACAGCCAAACCCACACACTAAGTTTCAGGGAATCCTGTACAAAAACCACACACACGCATTGGTCTGCCCAGATGTTTATTGTAATGAGTGGTCTCTTACTCCAGCAGAAGATACAACTTCAAAGAACACAATTGGTATATTTTATCTCAAAGCACAGATGTGTCATAAAACAAGCACCAAATGTATTTCTATTATTTATTTAGTTGAATAATTTTTATTTTTCTGCCAAAAAAGGATCTTAACATATGTTTTAACTGTTAAGTTTGCTGTTGATCTTTTCTTTGCAGAAATATAGTCCTTGTTGATTCAGATGTATATTATGAATATATATGTGTATGTATATACATGCATACATACACACACATACATATATAGTATGAATAACTCAGTAAAGAGAAACAGTGTCTAAGGAGCTATTAAAATGCCTCTGAACTACAGTTCCCAGCATGCCTTATTTCCCAGGTAGTAAGATTTGGAAGAGAAGGCATTTAACTACAATACCCAACATGCTCCATTTTCCTTAGTTACAAAAGTAGGGATTGGCAGTTGAAGGGTGAGGCTTTAGTTCTAGCAACCCTCAGCAAGCTTCTGAAGTGGGTTTGATTGTTTGTCTCAAGTCTTCTAGTTACAGAGGTATAAGCTGAGGAAGCTGGTTTCACTGTTAGAGCCAGCATTTGGAGATTACTTAGAGGTTCGGACAAAATCACTAAGCAATATGTGCTCTGGGAATAACCTCTGATTGTTGTTGTCTACCAGGCTGCCGGTTGCTGCCTTTTGATCCTGCCATCTGTCTTAACCCCTCATCTACGTGGGGGGCATGAGTGATGCTGGTGCCTGCCACAGAGATGGATGCCTTCCGACATTCTTACACTAGGCTGTGCAAGGAGAGCGGTGCTGAGCCTCAAGAGAGCATCCTGCAGCACTTGGAGGAAGCGGCAGGACGAAACCGCTTGGATTTGGCCACGCAGAGCCTTTCTGTAGATACATGTGGAGTCCTTGGCAAGCTCTTGCAGGATGACCTCCAGTTCACTGAGATTGTACTGAACGATTGCATGCTGAGTGAAGAAGGTGGGACTTTCTCTGTCCATAAGGCAATCCTTGATTTCTCTCCTGTCCTCCTAAAGCTCATGGCACCTTAGCTCCCATTCTGTTGCTTGTTTTTAACTTTATTTTGTAATCAGACACTGTCTGTGTTAACAATATGACTAGCCAGGTCATCTCTAAAATGGAGATCAGTCAGAACATATGGTAATGCATACATTTCCAAAGGGTTTCTAGGGAAATCAGAAGGGCAGGAGGAGAGGGAGGTATGAGAGTGTTCAAGAGTTTATTCTCATGATCAGCCAAACTAAATCTATAAATTGTTTAATAATATGCCAGTGGGTTCACATGTCACACACCAAGCCATAATGTGGGCGGTTTAATTTTGGCGTAATGTGCTACATGAACCCACCCACTGTGGCTTACTCAGTAAATCATGGTTAAACAAAACAAGATTCAGTACAGTGTGTGAATGTAGTTTTTTTTTTAAAAAAATAGGAACCTAGCTATCATTTTCAGATATAAGTCTTTTCCCTTGCAGGGGCTAAGCTGCTATTACATGGACTTTGTTCCAATACAGTTGTGAAGTTCTTAAATCTGAAGGTGAGTGTCCTGCACCTAGTCTTAGGGTAGCAGAATATCTAGGATGGTTTTGCTTTGGGAAATAATAGAAAGGGGGACTTAAAGTAGTCAGTGGAAAAGATTTCTGAGGCAAATCATACAACTGGAGTCTATAGGGTATGCTTTGTGCAACTTCAGGAATCCTGTTGCTTTTAGAATAGCAGTTGAAGATAAGTTTCTAATCCTCTTGTTGGTTAAATAAGAATGTAAAATGTGCAAATAGAATAAGGGTAAAAGAAGAAAGAACTTCTGGTGAATTGTTTGTTTTTCAACTCTTACAGTTTTTAAACATGTCTATATTCCCCAATCCTTCTTACAAGATAGTTTGCTATTAGGGACTACAATAGCATTATTGAATATATTATTAAAATATCTCTATCATGCACATAGGTGTATGGATGTACATATGTATACATATTTATGGCTCAGATTTTCACCAATTTTCACACTATGTTTCTTTCCAAATCAATACTGGAAATTTATTAAACATTTTATATGCTACCTTTCTATTTATACACAAAATGGTGTACAATGGCAGAATCATAAAGATAATGTGGAACTATTAAATGTAAAAAATGCAAGTGGACATGAATTCATGAGTTCTATGATAAGTGCAAAAAATACAAGTGAGTATGAATTGTTGTGTGCACAGGAGAAAGCTGAATATGTTTAATTCCCAGAGTTTTGTGGATGAAGCTATGGTTCTGACATGAATTAGAAACAGCTTCTTGTTTGTGGTCTGGATATATCCCTGTTTTGAAATGCAAGAGGATACTAATTAAACTTGACTTCTTTTAGGGAAACAATCTACGAGCTGTTGGGGCTGAGGCTCTGGGAAAGCTTCTCAGGCAAAACAAGACTATCCAAAGGTGAGCAGTCAGGAATATGGAGAGTGTCTGAGGCTGTGTTAGGATGTGTGCACCCAGTTGGTTCAGATTGTCAAAGAAGGATTATTGTATTTGTATTGTGTCTCCTTGGGAGGGGATTAAGGGCTCCCTCTTCAACTACAGCTTATGTCTACTATGCATCGGCCTGTATTAATTGCCTCTTTCTTCCCCAAGGCTCACTTTGGAATGGAACAATCTGGGCGTATGGGAAGAAAGCTTCACTATCTTCTGTGAGGGGCTTGGTGCCAACAGCCATCTTCAGATGCTCGACTTGCGCAATAATCAAATCAACCACCAGGGGGCAGGAGAACTAGCCATGGCACTGAAAGCCAATTCTAGTCTACAGGAACTCGGTGAGGCTGGCCTTCTTAAAAACCGGGGGGAGGGAGGGATCTCCCCATCCCACCTCCTTTGACAACTGAGATCATTTTATTGGGAAATAACGACTGTTAATTTGTTTTCTTTCTTTTTTATGCTTGTTTTCTTTAAAAAGTTGATTATAATAGTAAAATCTAATACAAACTAAACTTTAAAAAAATAGAAAGTAGGAGTAAAAAGTGCAAGAAAAAGGAAGAGAGAAGAAAGAG